GTCTTGTACTTTATACCAGCTCCTTTAACATCCCTGTTGATTAAGTGGGTCTTTTGTGTCAGGTAATGAGAAGGGTACAATCTGAAGACTGGCTTGGTTACCGTTCAAACGATTATGTATTTGTCATAATTTAGCTATTTTCTCATGGTACAATTACGTATTTATTTTGACAATACATTAAAACGCAGATTTTAGTCTTAAAGAAACAGTTTGTAGGATGGTGTCACGTATCTGTTCACGGACACAGGGTCAACACGCACGAATCATGTTTGGCTTTTTTACCATTAAAATGTTAACGCGGATAATTGCAAGATTCAAGTCACCAAGCAACAATTCAACATGTGGAAGTAGATGCTGTGGTCAGATGAGAACAGCATTGAACGTTTTGACCTAAATGCAAACCGCTATATGAGGATTTAACCCTGCTCTAAGACTGAACAGAGCGCCCTGAGATCTGCTTCTCTTTGTATCTCTTTGAAGCTTTTCATTATGCTTTTAAGAGTTTTATATTTGCCTCACTGTGTCTCGCTATTTCTATTCTCTTTGTCTGTGTGTGTGTGTGTGTGTGTGTGTGTGTGTGCTTTGTGGTGTTGGTGCCCCCGGTGTCTTCTGTTTGTATTCCAATGTAGTTTTTTCTGCAAATGGTAATAAATTGATTCTGATTCTCATCCCTCTCCTCACACCATCCCCGGTGTCAAAACTGGTTGTGGCGACATCATGATTTCCTGCTTTTCCTCAGCAGGGACAGAGAAGAGTGTCGATGGGAAGTTGGTTGGGGAAAAATAATTAAGGCTTAGGTGGGGTGCTTACCATCAGGACTATTTCTTAAACTTTTCATACAATGGACTGACATTAAGCATTATCTATCTGTGACATGTGTTGGTGTTTCAGGAGGAATCAGCTCTGTATATATTGTATAAACAGTGGTGTTAATGATCTGGGCACAGCAGGCAGAAGTGAGACATTTATAAAATGTTTGTTTGGTGTACTGTGTCACAAGGAGGGATTGTTTTTGTGTCTTGTTGTCGGGCAGCTGTGGTCTGAGAGTCTCATAAGGTGTGAAGTGGGTTCTATAAAGTAACTTATATCGGATAATTGTTGCTATTTTGAAAGTGTTTAAGGTTCTTCCAGTTGATGTTTGAATTATTGATACTTCTCTGGTCTCTTTTTGTTTTGGTATTGGGAACATTTTATGGATATGTGATGAAAGTGTTTGCAGTATAGATGAGATTATATTGTGAAAGTTGGATCTTAATGGATTTTCTATGTATTTATTGTATCTGGAGTTATTCGAATGAGGAGTTTATGGGTAGATTTCATTTGTTCTGAAGATACTGTCGTTTTTTTCAAGTTCTTTCCAGAACGAATAGAATGGTGGCATGTTTCTAGAGCTGGGTTTATTGAATTGCAAAGAGTGTTGTGTGTCGAGCTTGCCATATTGTTTTTGTAGACAGGAGCGTTTGATTGTGGGTTTTTTATTCCATGAGAATTAGTTTATATAAGTTACGAGAGGAGAACCAGGTCACGGTGAAGAGATTGTATCAGTGAAAGTGGGAGTTTGTTCCATCTTGTCAGGTCTTCATAGTTTTTATCCAATAGTGTGGAGAGTTTTAAATTGACTATACTTTTATGATTGCTTGTGAATGTACTTCATAGATATGTATTACATTTCTTTAGGTTTAATTTGGGGAAATCTATGGGGTGTCCCAATGCAAAGTTGAGAGGCAGAGGGGGGTGTTTCCTTGCTGGTATTGGATGGTGAGGGATTCATGTCACATTGGGCCTGTTTATGGGAGCACTCATGTTCTCACACTTGGGGCAGGTCTCCGGTGCCAAACGCCTGGTGCTGTGTCACTTTGGGGCATTTGAAAAGCAGGACAGCAGGTGTGCGGCTCCCTGACCGCTCCTGCAGATGGAGCGTCTGTGTTCAGCAACACACCAGTGCTCTGTCACTAATCGCATCTTTCACATTTTTAACCAACTCTGCCTTAAGCATGGACATAAACCCAAACAAAGAAGTCAGGCAAAGGATTTTTATCTTTCTTCAGTCTCTCAAGTGAAGAAAGGCTGACTGGATCGGCACAGGCTTTCATTCTGTATTATCCAGCTTGGCTTTTAACTCTAGAAGAACTGTGTTCACAAATTGATGCTCTGCTCCTTTGGGGCTGTAGCTGCAACATTAAATTGTACTAAAATATTCATATGAGAGTGCATTTAGCTGAGAGCAATTGATGTGTGACTCCCAAGGGGCTCCATGGAAATGTGGGAGGACCCTGAGCAAGTGCACACAGACTGACAGGGTGCAGGCGGAGATCTGGACCGGGACCACCAGAAGCCCAAGATGGGCTCAACCATGGATCTAAGTGGGAAAGAGGATATAATGCAAAACAAATGTAATTATTTGGAAATCAAAGAATATTCATTTATGGCTTAAACTGATATATCACAGCAAACCAATGACACTGAAAGCAGCCATTTCCTCTTAAGTTTGGACTGGCACCAAAAGGGAGCTCAACTGGTAGAAAAAATCCCTGTAGAACTCGCAATTTTAATAATGCAACAATTGTATCTTCAATGACCTCTTAACAAGGGCATCTATGTTATTGTCCATCTATACACATGCATATGAATATTCATTTCCCGCCAGATTTGTGAGACTCATTTAAAATGATGGCTAATTCACTCTCTGAGCATCATGCAAATTCTGACACTATGTAAATCATATTCGTATTCAGGTCTTTGGAGTTCACAGTGATGTTTTCTGTACTCCCAGGTGGATATAGGCTTGTGCAGACTGCATGTTTACCATATGAACAACAATGTACTCTTTCATCTGTGTGAGGTCAACATATGGACAGCATTTCTCACTTATTTTAGGAAAAGGACTATAGAATTAGACGAACTGAATGAATATTATTTATTTATTTATTGAAGAATATTGAAATGTAATGGGGAGGGGTCTTCTCTGTCACCATGACTACAGACTCCTGAGTGGATTCCTCCGACCAAATGAACGTCTGGATCCAGCACTTAGGAAGTATGTTTGAAAAGGAGAACCTGAGAATCTTTTTAAAGAACAATGTATAATTCATTTGTATTTCCCTGCCTCTCGGAAGAGTGTGCGAGCCGGGCGTTCTGAATCTGTCACAGTCAGTCACACACCCTGCTCCTGTTTGTTCTCAATGAGGTCGAGCCTTTCCAACATACGTCCAGCTGTTTTTCCTTTACGACCCGTGCCCCAGGTCTCTTCTATGCACTGAACAGAACTGTTCCTCCAACTGAGACAGTTCTCACACAGACAGATTGAGGCCTTTGTTCTCCACATGGGACACTTGTTGTGGTTGGTATCAGATATTGGGTGTCTTTATGAGTGTTATGTTTTCATGGTTAAACTTACATTAATGACATTCATTTGTTAACTTTACTTTAACTTCCACATTTGTTTAATTAATTTATCTTGGTTATTGCATATTCTGCAGGTATATGAGCAACAAGACTGGGGAAATTGGGCAGCGGCAAAAAGCAGGTCGTCATAAAAGACAGATTATTAATCATTAGCTTAGTAATCACCACTTTTTTAATCAATTTATAATTAGTCAAATGTAATTGTTTAATTATGTAGTAATTTAATATAATAGTATTATATTTACATATAAATCCCTGAGAAAAATGCCCATATCTTTTACTTTTACCATTTGGGTACAGCCCAACTGGTAATGCAAAAACGACACAAATTATTAACCAACCTAATTATGTTCTTTGATTTAAAATTGAAAACAAAACTTACCTCCATTATACTTATGCATCAACACATTGTGAGAGCAATACTAACACAAATGTCTATCAAAATGTCACAAAGCCAATGGTCATAGTTTGAGCACAGGTAAGTCATGGGCAAATTAAGTTTTGTGGAGATACTAATTAACAATTTAAATATACTCAGTAAGCATGTAAACATTTGACAAGCAGCAAAATGGTTGTGAATAAATGATAGCGGAGCATAACAGGATGAGTCTTCTCATTACACACTTACTGCGACTTCGCCAATTAACTGTTGTTGTGACAGCTCCTTCATCTTAACACTGAATTATTTACACTTTTTAAAACATGCAAATAACAAGTCAATGCTAATGAACTTACAGCGCAGAGAGTAGGAGGGAAATATTTTGTGCCAGAAATTTTTATTTATTTCAAGAAACAAATTAAATGTTATGGAAATATTTTGTTTTAATATTCTTAATTTGACTTAAAAGTACAACATGTATTTGGCGATCAGGTCGGCTGTATTAAGTTTACAAAATTGTTGGCAAACATTAAAGTGCAAAGAATTAGCGTGTATCTTTTAAAGGTTCATGCTACAAGCACTCCAGTCACCGTCATTCATACCGAAAATAGTCAAACTGTCTTTTTTTTAGGAAATAAAATTATCACTATATTTTTCATGATGCCTCATAGTTTCATATGAAACACACCTGTGGAAAAAAGGCAAAGGTTTCATGGCTTTTGTATCATCAAGCCAATCTGTCAATGTCTTACCCTGTAGCTCCGTAGACAATAAACAGCAAACTAATTATATGAAATACAAATGAAACATGTCTTTATAAAACACTTCACTGTTCTATTTTCCAAAAGCAGAGAACAGCATCTTGGCTTGGAGCACTGGCAATTAGTTAGTTTAATAGAGGCCTGAAAGGTCCTTGCTGGTTTTTATTTTTGTGTTCATTGCATTTAGGACCATTTAATTAATTCCTGAAATAGAGTGTACAACAATGCATTTCTCCCATTCAACTGGAGTCATCTTCTTTTGTTATTTCCTTCCGTTTAACCATCGATTCCATCAAAGCAGGTCTGATAATATACATTTTGACTTGGACTGTTTATGATTTGTGTAAAACTGAAGCTTGGCTTTATATTTCTCTGACTGACCAAGACCGTTTCACACGGAGCAGATTCACTTGTTGATATGGTCCATTTCAAGGCGACTTCTGTGCTTGAGTAGTTTAAGTGTCAGGTATGTGCCCCAGAGGGGAATCCGAAGGACCCAGGAGCCTGTACTTCTCCTCTAGAGAGACCTCAGTGCTGCCGCCCTGCAGGTGGATGAGAGGCTTAGTCTGTAGCGGACCACCGCCTCTACCCCGCCCTCTGCGTTCCTCTTGATTCCTGCGATTGAACAGATTTATTCGGTGGTCCAACTCAGTACTGGCTTTTTCAGACCTCGTAGGACTAGGAAGCTTAAAGTTGACAGGATCCAGACTTTTCTGAGTAAGACAGGAGTCCTCGGAGAGAGAGGAAAGCAGCTCCTGTACCATAGCACTGGGGTCCCTGCGGGGCTCTGGCCCACAGAAGGCAGGAGGAGCACAGCGCACAAAACTGTAGCTCAGGTCCTGGGCCGTGCTGCTGCAGTCAGTCAGCGAGGAGCGAGGAGTGTGGCTGCTGAGGCTGAGGGGGCGGGCCGTCAGGCTGCCACTGGAACGAGATATGCTGCTGGAGATGTCACTCAGGCCACTGCCAACCCGCTCCTTGGCCATCATCGGGGTGGATTGTACGGGATGTGGGTTTGTGGGACGATGGACGTCGATGGCTGCAGTAGTAATGACCTGCACGGCAACACCAGCACCAGCTTCTGCAGACATGTGAAAATAGTTATAGAAAATGTCATTACAATAGTTTCTCCTAGAACTTTTCCCCTAATGATATTATGTCACATTGTGATCACTAGACTATTGTGACCCCACCTACACGTGATCCTGGCAGACCTCAAAGGTAAGCTGGGCCTGGTTAGAACTGGGATGCCACTGTGGGGCACGTGCGGCTGTAAAGTGCCAATCTGTTGTTGCGTCCTTAGGCAAGACACTTGATCCACTTGCCTATTACAACTCTGGTGTGCGAGTATGTTTGGTGATGGTCGGAGGGGTCGATGGCACATGCCTCGTTTCTGTCAGTCTGCCCCAGGATAGCTGTGGCTATGGTAGTTGTTTATCACTACCGTGTAGAGTGAATAAATGAAGCCATGTGAAGCTGAGAGTCCAAATAAAAGCGGTGGGAATTGGCTGAATTGCTATCAAAAAAAGTGCTGCTCAAATATCCAAAATTACTTTTGATATGATATTTAGTATTATTGAGTGTTGGCTTGAGTGTTTCGAGATTTACATTGAGAACCTGACATACTGTATACTTCAGCACATTACTTATCTTTAATTGTTAATATAATTTGAAGAATTATGCAGTTCTTCTTGTTTTTTTGTTAAATTTGTGTTTTCCTCTTACCACTGCTGGCTTCACTGTAATATTGGCTGATATAGTTGTTCATGTCATCACGTACAACCGGATCTGAGATAAAAAAAAAGAAAAATAGAACAGTTTATAGTATATTATTAATAAAGCAGAGTTTGAACATGTAACTTAACCATCTGACAACACCTCCTCCCTAAAAAGTTTCTGTCATAGTATGATGTAATTGTATCATGATATTTTCTGCCTTTAAAACAAAGTCAGTGCCCATGAAGTAGTTTTATCATTTTTCAAGTGTAATTTTTTAACTTGCAAAAAATTGGGATTTTTGGTAAATTAAAATGTAAAGCTATTTCAAAAGTAAAGTTAATATTTTCTTTATGTAATGGCTCCTATTAATCCATTTTAATATGACAAACTTTCTACAAACTTCAAACAGGAAATAGGATTTTAGAGCCTTCTCTGCAGGCACCACTTCATGTCAATATTAACAAGTCAAGTTAGCCCAATTGGAAAGAATATCATGTATTTACAACACAATATTGACATAGCTGATTTCTGCCTCAGGCCACAGGTGCTTTATAAGTAAGCAGGAAGTGTGGCACATTAGCAGGCGCTGTGTGCACTTGGAGCAAACTGGGACAGCAGTGGGTGGGGTTGGTTGGTGTTGGAGCAGAAAGATGGGGGTGAGAGTGTGTGGTAGTTCTTTGTTTGGACCCTAATCCCTCCAGATAAGCAGACCTGAGAGTGTGCACTGTGCGCCTGTGATCTGCTGTGCTCATATGTGCGCTTGATTGGTCTTGAGCTCACTGTCCACTGGCTGAGTGCAAGCCCAGTGTACCCTGAGTGCTAGCCTCTGTCCCCAGGGAGGCAGACTCTGATGGGTAATTTCATTTCTTTTTTTGAGTCTAAAATATTAATCCCTGGGCCACCCCTGGAGAAGAGGCATTGCACTCTCTGCAACAAGACTGAGACAATTACTCCACAATTAATAACACATGAGTCTTAAGGAAAAAGAATGGGCGGTCCAGCGTGCATAAAAGCTTCTGCTTCTTTCAGGGATGTCATCTGTGCTAAAGGAGAGGTGACATGGAAGACTCCCTTAGATCCAGAGAGAACACAGATGTAGATGTTAACCCTAACCCTAACCCTTGAAGTTTAAATTAGTCATCTATGCCAGGTCTAGGCCAGATGAATTTTAAATAGAAAAAGTCTAGGGCCGATATATATTTTTCTTGACTATGCTTTTATACCAAGGTTTCCATTGTTTTCTTTGAGGAAAGTTTGTTTATTGCTCAACTTTTGTACATTTATAATAATATATCTAGTTTTACTTTATGGATGTATTTTCATAAAAGGATTCCTTTCAGAGTTTGGATATTACTTTCTGTTTACAAAACAGAAGAATGTGTCTTGACTTTTTTCATGTAACTATTACAAATTGTGTTTTGGATTGAATGTTTCAAATAGAATACATCATGTGGTTGTTTTTTATAAGAAAATTAGACACATAACACGCAATGGTAGCCAATATAAGCCTCTTACACCATACTGACTAAGCATGGGGGTGGAAACATCATGCTTTGGGGATGTTTTTCTGCAAAGGGACCAGGACAATATTGTGAGATTTTGAGTGAAAAAAACATGCTCACTAGGTTAAATCCTCCAGCTCTGGTAGTCCTGACCAAGCCGAGCATCAACATCTGGAGATGGGTTCCCGGGCGCTGTTCTACGGCGACCATTGCCCCTGACGTAAGCCTTAGTGGCATCAGGATGGGTCAAATGCAGAGGATTGAATTGCCCTACAGGGATTAATAAACTGCACCTTTACCTTTACCTTTAAAACCTTCCATCAGCAAGGGTATTGAAGATAAAACCTGGCTGGGTCTTTCAGCACGACACTGATCTCAACCACAGAAGCAGAAGTATTGAGATGGACTTTTGTATTGACTAATTCAGAGATGTGATTTTCTAGATGTGTTTTCTCATTTTGTTTCTCATACTTGAGGTATAACTTTGATGAAAATTACAGGCATCTGTAATTGACCAACTTTTTTGCTCCACTGTATCAAGCCCCGGGTCTCCAAGATGTCTGCCCAAATCAAGGGCCTGGGCTCATTGACACATGGGGGTCTCAAATAGTCGTGGAAATGAAATTTTTCTGAGCAGTGTCACTGTTGCATAACTTTGCAGGACCAAAGGAACATGTAAGCGTTCTGACCAATCAGCACCAGCTGATTAGAGGGAACAGTTTGTTGCACTAAAGTGGGGTTTTATAAAAATGTATGAATTTCCAAAGAAAAGAAAAAAAGAGTTCCTCACAAAACCCACTTTTGTGAAAGCTGTAGGTTCCCTGTCAGCTGAGGGCGAGCGGTTTCATTTAACATTGAGGTGCATGGATACATTTCCTACATACTGTTGCTCATGATCATTTAAGCTGCAGAGACCACATATAGCACAATACAAATCATATAATACATCCATGTTCTGTATACAGTCTATAGTTTGGTACTGTATATTTTACTGTTATACAGTATGTAAATGCCACCAACACAAGGATGATCAATTCATTAGTGGAATAAAAAGTAGAGAATAAACAAAAAACGCTGCATAACTACACATTTTACAGTTATCATGAACATGTAGCATTAGTCACATTGAACTCAACTCACTGTAATCACTGTCTTTTGCAAATGCAATGTCTGACCAGGGAGTCGCTGAACTAACCTTGACAAAATAAACTTCTATTCTATGCATTTTCTTCATAGGTATGGAAATAAATGCGAGTTTATTGTAGGGAATATACATTTTAGCAAAAAAATATCAAAACTAACGTGAGCAGAGCTGGAATGCTTTAAAATGAGCCCGCGGCCTCAGTGTGCTGAGATGCACCCATGTTTCTGTGAAATGCTCCATTTGTTTTGGAAGGACTGATTTTGCACCATGCCCTTGGGGTAAGATTGTGGCCGCGGCTCCTCTTTGTGCCCTATTGTGGTTTGCAGGTGAAGGCGAACAGATGTTGACAGAGGCCTTCTTTCCTCTTACATGGCCCAATGCACAGAGCACTCAGTACCTGAAATAGCTTGAGCAGCCTGGGTCTCTCCAGAGGGGGGCAGCATGAGACAGAGGGACGAGAGCAGCAGTGTGGGACAGGCCTGGATGTGGTGATGTGGTGTTGGAGAACATGCTTGTTTGCCCCAGGACTCACCAAGGCCTAAAAGCTTTCTGCCCTTGTATTGATCCCAGAGCACCTGTGGTCAGATGGCTGTTGTGTCTGAGCATCAGGGCTGAGAGCCTGGCCTCCAGCCTGCTCCAGGCCAACTTCTGCAGATTAACTCAACACTGCTTTGGCATTCAAGGCGCCTCATGTTTACCATTATGATTTTGTATCACAAAATACGGACATGTCTTGTGCAGCCCCTCCCTTCTAGTTTGTTACATTGCTTCCTCAACCAAAAAGTACAAGTCACAGAGCGGGTAAGTGCTTTTCACCACTTCCACAAATTAGTACTAGTGCATGTCCATATAGGTATGCATGTCCAAACTACCTGTTGTTGAATGTGGCTCCCTGGGGTTCCGATGGCTGCCTTCATCCTCAAACTCCTCAGGAGTCATGCCCTCGACAACCTTTAAGTTTCTCTCTTGTTTGCCCCAAACATGGCGGATCTGCATGGCAGCCTCCCGCTCTGCTGCCAGATCCAAATCCTGCTGCGCCAGATGTGCTCTCAACTGCCTGATCTCAAACTGAAAAAGAGGATGTGAAAATGATTTAAGTAAAACATATTCAAGAGTACTGAAAACATCCAATATTACAGTTCTAACCTGTTCCACATACATGAGTAAATGTAAATTACAACAATTCATCTGTTTCACACAGAAGGCTTTAAAGATATGATTTTTCATTGTTTTGGCAAATGTATGCAGTAATCACTAATCAGGGAACAAATCAGGCTGATTGTGAAGCCATGCTGCCCTCTACTGGGGGAAAAGAAAATTACATCTATTCTGCCATCTGTCTTATCATTCACATGTGGAGGTCACCACTGATGTATGCTGAGTCAAGTATCAGGTGCCAACAGATAAACGTTAGTTAATCCAGATTTCCTCTGGATGCCTACATGCCAAGGTAATGCCTGAGTAGCTACTCACAGCCTGTTCCTGGCAGATCTGAGTGAGCCGCTCCAGCTGCTCTTCACGCACTGCTTTTGTTTTCTCACATTGTTGGATCTCCAGCTCCATCTCAACTTTGACTTGCAGCACATAAGCTAGAATGACACAGAAAAAAACAGTGTATAACACATGCAAGAACAATATTACACTGATGTTTGAGTGAGTACCAGGTGCGACAGCGGACGGATGAGGCTCTAAAGTGTAAAATGTGTGTTTAGGGCCCTATTGGCAAAACACTTCACCCACTTGTGAAGAACATGAATCTGGTGTCTGAATGATTGCTGTTGTTGTAGTCGTAGAAACAGAAAATGAGAATGGCGACCTCACCACACAGTCAGCCTATTTTATAATAGCTCCATGCAGCCTACCGTCGGGTGGCTGTAACTACACCTCCACATGGAGTATGAAGTGAATGAACAATGGAGACATAGCTTCTTACAATTACAGGAATTACATAGAGAAATGTTTGATCATGTTATTTGATCAGAGGGAAAGTGAAAATGGAAAATTTAAACTACTACACTTGTGTTGCTTTCTCTGTACTCCTAATATACTTAACAATATACTATACTGTGTTCACGGAACTCATCATTCTTTCAGTTGATCCTTATGATATAGTTTACGTATTTGTATTTTTGTCCAGTCTTTGCTGACACAAACATTGCTACTTCATATGTCAAGCCAGTTTTGCAAAAGACTCAGGCTGCAGCAATGAGAGCCAGTCCATCAGCTGTTCAGTATGGCTGCACATGTCCCTCTGTCACAGCTGTGTCAGGTCAGAGCAGTGCGGAAACTCAATCACTCACAAATATGGAAGTTAACAGTTTGCATTGAGCATGTGTTTATGCACTGAAGGCTGGTGCAGTCGCTGCAAGTTAAGATGAGCAAAGTGCCTATAATCAAAGTGCTGGAAATACAATAACATTAATAATAATACATGTACGTATTTACCTGAAAACTGGAGACACTGCTGCTGTTCATGTGTCGTGATGAAGCGTACATTGAGCTACAGCATGTTCTTCTATTTAATTATTGTATTGTATATACAATATGGTTTATTTACAGTATATAGTTTTAATTATTCAGACTAGTGCAATGCACATTAAATTTTATCTTTGTTTTATATACCTTCACGTTTTCTGAAGAAATATATTAGTCCATATTATTTCTTGTTGAAAAATATCGCTCAATACAAATGCTTTTCACTAGGCACAAATGGCCATAGTGATTTATTGACAAACTCAACGTTTTTAGTTTCAATGTAAATAAGGATATTCTTATACGTTCGAAACCCAATGTTGAGGGGGACATCTCTAACACACATTGAACTGGTCTTCATTCACATATTTGAGAATAACCACTATATTCATTATTGCCTCTGAACTTATTGAACCAGTTCCTGACTCAATACAATGTAGAATAACGAAGCAGTTGAAATTGAAACATAGTCAATAAGCTCTCCGGTTATAACAGTGAGTGACATGGTCGTCTGTAGCGCAAGGACAAAGCGGAGAGGCAGTTCTTTTGTTAATCTTACCGTCAATGATCCTCTTGACTCTCCATATGCGTAGGGTGATGATGAGGCTGATGGCGTCCCAGGGGCTGCTGGGACCATTGGCCACTGTGGAGGCCACCATAGGAGCGAGAGAGAGCACAATGACCGCACCATCAAACACCTGTCAGATGAGCGAGATATCAGCAGGAGATCCATAGCACGGAACTATGCATTTCTACTGACCTCCACTTTGTTCTCAATGTAGTCCCAGATACCCAGCACTACTATTCTGAAGACTGTCTGAAAGAACCAAATGGACATTCATGAAAACCAAAAGAGCCATTGAACATAACTTAATTGTTATATCAAAACCATTACTCCGTCTAATCTGACAATATCCTTGTGGATCCTCATCAACAAAATGTATAGACAATCAAATTATTGAAAAGTAAAACAGCAGAAAACCATGTAATGAAGTCCTATTGCTGCAAATGACTGTATCAAGAATGTGCAAAGCATTATTATTATTATTATTAATTATTATTATTATCATCCTTCAGCCTCACACAACTCAAACCTCTTATTCTTATAACATCAGAGAGCCTCCACTGCCCTACTCTATGTCTTTGCCACACTTTGACTGCCATATCTGTTTAGTAGACATTTTGGAACGCACTGTCGTCAGCATGTGACATGTGTAAATTATCTTACTCATCTATCCTTAATCTTACTCGTACTTGAGACACTGCCTGTATTGAGATACACAATAGTCATTGCTCATCCATACATTTATGACAGGGTTTTGTATAAAACATGAAATAAAACAATGAAAATAAAAAAGATCATTGAAAATAGGTTTAATGCATAATGAAATACATGCATTACCTCTGAAAAGAAGAGTGAAAGAATAATAAGGCTAATCCAGTGGATAATGCTGGCAAATTGAAAAGCATTGGAAACTGTAAACAGAATGAAAAGGGAACTGTTAAACATTGTTTTTGAGAAAGTTCTGTGTAAAGTTCTACCAGTGTAAGTGGCAGAGAGCCTTGAGTTTCCCTCACTCTGCTGTGACATACTGCTGTGCACGAAGCACCAAGATCCTTATTAGCCTGTTGGCATCATGATGAAAGATTACCTTCATAATAAACTCATATTGTCATAATAGGGTTAGGCTTGATACAGGCTAATTGACTTTCATCATTGGGGGTTATGGTATTAGGAAACACGGTTACAGCATTACTTAAAGCTGGAGTACCTAACTTTCAAATAGCAAAAAATGTAGAAATTTAATATAATCCATCTATTACTAGGACCACCTTCAAACAGCTCTCAGCCAAAAGCATCAAACAGTGACTAACAGGTCTCTTTATAAAATATAATATTTTCTAAAAAGACAGAGACAGCATGTTGTGCTCTAATTTGTTCATATAATTTTACTTTTCCAAATAGCTTTCTGTTGGGACAAACAACATATTATTTTCATCCAACAAAAAGCTAAGTATCCCGGCTTGGGATTTGTCAAAGTAAGCTCACGTGTTTTTCCTCCTTAGACATTGAATAAAAAAAACATTCAAGGCGATGCAATACTATTTTCACGAGACAGGCAGGTGGACCTTTCCCCAGAAATGACAGAGGTCACCTTTAACATTGGTTGTACTACATAGACCGCCCAGGGACAGAATGAGTTAGCACTTGTGACGCCATTCCAGGCTGGTGCCTCCAGGTGTTGTGAGCTTCATACTGTGAACTACTGAAAAAGAATGTGTGCGCTCAGCAAATTTCTGGTTGGCTTGTGTTTTATGACCTAATTATACATGTATAAAACAAATGAAGAAAGAAGTCAGGCCGGATATTTACATTGTAGAAGTTTGGTGTCTATGAGCAACTCCAGAGACAGAAAGAGCACCACCAGGACGACGCAGGCCACTAAGACACAGTTGAATCCAGCGCTCATCAGACAGACCTGCCAGACAGCGACACGGTGGCCACAGCAGGGTTTCAACCAGTTTGACCTACAAGAAAAAACATGATTTATTCATATACAATTACACACATTGCTAACCCTAACAGAATAACTGACTATTTTGTGTTCTGAAAAAATAACGTGTCCTTTATGTCCCATAGAGGGCAGTAGAGTCGTCACATGTGACAGGTGATGCCTGCACACTGAAGGCCACAGAGGAGGATGGACATGGATCAAGTGAGGGGACAGAGGAGCTCTGTGAGCGGCTGCTCGGAGCAGAGTGTGGAGTGAATCTGAATGACATGGAACTGAAGGGAGTCTCTGTGAAGCCCCATCACATAAGGACAGCTACTTTCAAAATGTGTCATACCATGTAAACGCTGAAGAAAATGAAAAAAAATTATTAGTTTAAATTAGATATTTGTACAAAGTCTACAAGTCTTAAGTTTAATTGATCTGTGTGATCATAAACAAGCCCTCAGAGGGGCATAGCAAGAGGCTTTACTATTCTGCCCACGGTCATCTGAGAGACCTGAACCTTCTGGAAGTCATCAAGGGGTTACTAATACTTATTACTAATATGTTGTAAACACTGCTCTGCTCCTCTAAACACCAGCTCCAAAGTTATTGGATGTAGTGATATTGGCGTCCGGCTAAAGCTGAAGCCAGTACACAGCAACTGTGAAGAGCGACTGGCAACACAAATGATCGACTCATTATGCTTTCTGACTGGATCTGCTTAAGAAATGGCAACACAAATAATGTGGCCATAATATAAAATAAAAAATAATGCAGCATAATCAGCATGAAAAAAAATATTATTTGTACATATTGATGGTTTTAATAATAAAATAATAAAATAATAAATACTGAGTATTTAACACGTGTGATAGTGTATAAAGCTGTCAGAGTCAGCTGCTGAGATTGAGTGGAGCTGGTCCAGGGAAATTAAATCAGTAGTAATCAATAGCAGCATGTTCATTGAGCCCACAACACTGGGACTGTGAAGACATGATGGACACATTGGATAAACAACTACACCACAGTACTGAGAACTAGAAGTAGCGACGGTTATCCATATTGAACTAACTCACAAAGGTTTACACTATTTTACAGTACTTTTAATAAATATCAGATGACTGCACAACAGACCTGGATGAGTCTTCTGCTGCTAGATACCTGAATTTCTCCTACGGGGTATCAATGAAGTATCCATCTATCTATCAAATATATTGTGTGAATTAGGTCCAACTTCTCAATATTGGTACATTTGGCTGTGGGGTCACATCCTTGCTTCTTCCGATCTGCAATCACGACACCAAATCCACACTAACCATCTGCTCTTGGGTTCAACCCCACATCTTCTGTATTGGAAGCAGTCAGATCAACAACATATGCTTTTGCCTGTGTGTCTGGCATCACTTCCAAAAGCAGGAGGTAGATGACATCACCCCTATGCTCAGGGTGCTGCTGTTCCGGCATGGGCTCACCTTGAAAGTCAAAGACACAATTGTTGTTTGTTTTATATAAAAAATAACCCTACGGGAAATAAAGTTTAGTATATTTATTTATAAAGGCTCACAATGACCAATAAATTGCACTATGAACCTTTTCTATGTATACTTGTCACCATGGAGATGTAATTGTTGATGCTATATACATAAACACACACAACCTACACATTCCACTACCACATTTTGATTTGAGTCTGCCCCAGGGCAGGTGTGACTTCTGTGAGTTCTGTCCACAGAACGCCCCATAGTGGTGACCAATAGCATTGCCGTGAGACAGCCAGTCACCCGTGTACTTCTCTAAAATGATTGTATAGTTAGATTGAAAGAACAATAAAACTGAAACATTGAATAAAGAGCAGATCAGACTCTAAACAGAAACATTTGAATATAACTATTTGACAAATTGAAAATGCGGACCGCAAACCAATGCCACCATAGTCCTTCCAGCCTTCCCTTGGACGTGAAGAGGGATGTCTCCAACACTAATAACCAGAATCTACTTACCAGTGCACTAAACAACCAACAACGCAGCAATCCCCTGATGCCACTTGAAACAACCACCGCCCACATGTTGTTGCCCACTTCTTTCATCTCCAGTAATACATTTTTTAGTATCGCAGGAGATGAGATTGAGAGCTTTGCCTTTCAGCTCCCTCTTAACCCTCTTCACCACAAAGGTCCAACCCAGTGACCGACCGCATCACTCACGCTGCATCGATACATCTGTCATACATCCCTCCCTCACTCTTATATTGTTTAAATTATCTCTGTCCCTCCATTATCAAAACTCCCAAACATTGACTTTAAGAGCTGCGTCTTGTTTTAGCTTTTTCTTCAGTTGTTATTGTGATTGTTTGGACAGCAGGACCTGACTCTTTACAACTTTACTTTACAACAGGGGCCTGATCTTCCCAGCTGACAGAAGCCCTTTACAAATCCAGACTCGGACAACAAGCAACTCCAGCTCTGAACTGTGCACAAATGCAATAAAGTCAGCATAACATTCATATTTTTGATTTTGAACGCAGAAGTGAGTGATCAGGCATCAGCTTTTTCATTTTTCAATATTACTACTTAATTTTTATGTGTCACTCTATCGCCACCTCTTGGCCTAATTTAACTTGGAGACCCAGAACATACTACAGGCTTATAAATAGAAAGTCAGTGCAATAGGAATAGTGTACATGGTTCCTAATGAGGTGTGACAGCTCAGTATAAAGGGGAATATGAAGTGAAGCATGATTACAAAGGATTAGATAACCACCACTGAGAGTTTGGCCTTGTTTCCTTTTTTCCCACCGCCTAAATGCTGTGTGCTGGCTCTCTGCTCATGCATGCTTGTACAGTACAGGCAGCTGAGGTGGCCGACTGTGTGCGAGCCACTACTTCTGCTGTCATGCGGAGTCAAGCCACCGCGTTCTTTGTTGAAGAGAGCACTAAGGTCATCTCCACCTTACAGTGCTACAGGCGTGGATATGCAAAGATGCTTCACAAGACTTCATCACATGCTGGCAGAGGCCTTTGCTCTAGATAAATCCCTTGCATTATGCTAGAATATATTCTAATAGAGTCTCAGCCCAGTAAAATATATGACCAAATTTACCAATATTGAGCAGTTTTACAGTATTATTGTTTTTTTAATTAGGATGCTTCACTCATTCAAAGCCATTTTATACTGATTACAATTTATATGTTAAAAATAAATCATATCTATTCATAACGCATGGAGCATCTGGGTTTCTACTTTTGGATATGACTAGATGGTGCATTTTTGTGATCATTTTTGGTGGAAAAAATTGAACACACTTATTTGCATCCACCTAATGAATGCTACTGGAGCTCAA